TGCTGATTGAATTTTTAAGAATGAATTAGAAAAAGAAGTATATATTCTAATTCTTGATGTAAGTATTTTTATCTAATAAACTTTTTAAAATTAATAATATGTAATAATATAGATGGTAAAATATTTATAATAAATATATATTGATGTTTTTTTTTTACAAAAAGTTAACTATATTTTTTAAAATATAAACTCTGTCTAAACGTGTATTTATTTATTTTTAAGAAAAAAATTTATAAATTTTAAATAATTTAAAAAATACTTTAGAGCTTTAGAAATAAGAACGCAATTCCTTAATTCAAAAAGCTTGATCATCTGTACACACCAATAAAGACACAAACACAAACAACCGATTCCTATTATCAGTCTTTATACCAATCAACATGAAGTTGGCTTTCATACTAGCCTCATAATTGTAGTAAGGATACAAACTTAGACCAAATATTAAATACAGATCATAACAAGATTGTAAGTCAAGAATAGCCATAAGATAACTTAGGCCAAATATTAAATAAAGCGAGATTGAAGATCAAAACACATCATCAGTATGTACATATTGATTTGTAACAAAATTATAAATCAAGATTCAGAGTATAACGAAATTGAAGATCAAATTCATCCTCAAGATTTAGCATTAAATCATAAGAGTCCCATTATATATTAAGCTCCAACTCGATAATAAACGAATAAAAAACTCAAGACATTCCTAAGATATTATTAGTGTAGACATTAGCAATATTATTCTAACCAAAACATCAGAGAACGACGTCAATCAGCAACTAATATAAATCAGTAATATTTTAAACTCACACCACAATTATCAAATCAATAATTTCGGTGTTCTCCTTACCATATGTACATCTTAAATTCACTTCTTTGACATATGAGACACGAGTTTATATTTTTCCTATGTTTTCAGATTAATTGAGTGGAATTGATATTGAATAATCTTAGCAAGAATGTTATTCTCTTGTCTCGCTACGGTGTTATTATGAGATTGATATCTTATTTTTACATGTTAAAAATGTTGTTATGGTGAGGTTGATTATTCATTTTAAATTGTTCTCATTGACCAACTTGTATATTTTTCTTGGTCGGTATGTCTACTTCTTTCTTATTTAAATGACTCCAAAAATAATTTAAAATTTACTTAAAGTTTAATTAAAGGGCGAAGAAGGTATAATATGATAACAATTTGAAAAAAAAAATAATGGTGCAAAGTTTTAACCTAAAAAATTACTTTAACATTCAAGTCAATTATGAAAACTGCAAATCAATTATGTAATATGTGGAATTTTGTCATGCAATCAATTATAAGTAGAAATCAGAGAGCTTGTAGACAAATACTCCATAACATGTATGGTCGGTGATGTTGAAATCAAAGGCTTGATGAAGAGTACTCAAACTACCATAGAACACATGATAAAATTTTAACCCATAAAATTACAACCGTCAAATTAAGAGAAAATTTATTCATGGACGGCTGCAAATAGATCATGCTTTGTCTCAGGATTTTGATGTGTTGAAAACCTCTGTGGAATCACATATACTGCTTGAATACAAGTTTTATAAGGTCCCACCCGTTGACAAGAGACAAGCAATGAACAGACTTTACTCTTTTTTTTTACAGACTTCCTTCTTTCTTCCTTTCTGTCTGTGTGTGTGTGTATATATATACATATCCAGCATCCACTCACTACAACCATCATTTTTCTCTCTATTTCTTTCTGTGTGTTTATACATATATGCAATTGTACCTGAAGTCAAACACCATATAAAGGTTGCTTCTTGGTATTTTTTACAGATTCAAGAAACCAAAGACAAGAATTAGGTTTTTTAAATTTTTGTAAGTTGATATACAGATATATATATATATATATATAGATACTATAGTTGTTGAAAATGAAGAAGAGAAGCAGTGACTCATCCAAACTTGATCGAAAAACTGTGGAAAGAAACCGGAGAATTCACATGAAAAGTTTATGCTTCAAGCTTTCTTCTCTAATTCCTTCTCAACACTTCAAGGCTTGTGATAAGGTAAACCTATTTATCAAGCAATTCCATTTTTTTTTTCTCTTTTCTGCACTTGATTAATTAATTTCTTGCCTTTCTGTATAACCTCTGTTAATTAAATTTTTAAAAATAGAAACTTAAATATTTACCCGTTAGGTAATATATATACAATAATTATAACAAAATAATAAACAATATCTAATAGAAAACACACAGAAATACATTTTAATTCGAATCCATAATCTCAATTAGAGAAAGTGATGCAGCAAATATTCATCTAAATAGTAATTGATTTAATTCTTAAATAAGAATGAAAATCAATTCTACTTGGACAGAATTAACGTAGGACTGTAAAAATAGTTTATAACCATCAAAAGCGAATTATATGTATAATACTAAAATTAATGTGTATGTTATTTATGTGTATATACGTTCAGGAGCATTTATCTCAACAAGAGCAGCTGGAGCATGCTGCTACATACATAAAAGAACTGAGAGAAAGGATAGAAGAATTAAAGGGGAGAAAAGAAGAAGCAATAATGGAGGAGTCAGGAAGAGGAAAGTACAGAAGCAATATTAATGATGGAGGATTAAGCTTACCAATGGTTGAATTAAGAGACATGGGTTCAAGTATTGAAGTAAATGTGATCAGTGGGTTAAACAAGAACTTTATGTCATACCAAGTTATCAGAATTCTCCAGGAAGAAGGAGCTGATGTTGTCAGTGCCAGCTTCAACACTGTTGGAGATAAGATTTTCCACACTTTCCATGCTCAGGTATATATAATATAGCATATATCCTCGCTGCAACTTATTCTACTAATTGCAAAATTATATATCTGTATATATAATAAATTTCTCATTTTATTGCAGGTCAAAATTACTAGAGTTGGTGTGGAGACCTCAAGAGTGAGTCAAAGATTAGAGGAAATGATATGTTTAGGTTCAGCTAATATATGAAGATATAAGTTGTGTTGGGTAATTAAAGAGAAGGGAATCATCAAAATCACCATGAGATGTTCTGGGATTTCTGATGATTAATTACTTCACTTTTCTGCTAGAAGAAAATTATATACATACATATATATATATATATACATATGTGTAGTCCCTACCCAGATGATAAATGTCCACAAATCTTGATGTAATCTCTCTCTCTCTCCCCCCAACCTCTCTCTCTCTCTCTCTCTCTCTCTCTCTCTCTCTCTCCATATGTATATAAGATATGGAGAACAACTATAGCTTAATATATACATATATATATATATATACACACACGTAGTACTTTTTATCTTTCTATCCGCAGTAAATTAAGTAGACTTCTCTTTCAAGTCCCTGGTATCTTTGGGAGCAAAAAACAGGCTAATTCAGTCAAATTTGGATGTTCTATAATTTCCTATAGAAAATAGAGAAAATAAACAAAAGGGAACCCAGAAAAATTTATAAGCAAATCACTTATATATATATATATATATGTGTATATATATATATATATGCGCGTAAGAAGTAGAATGTATTGTCAACATATACATTGAGGACGATCTAGCTAATAGTTGACGTTAAGCGTCAATTGGAAAATAGTTTATGTTTAAAAATATTTTAAAAATGACTTTCAATAAAAACATATATATATATTTTATGACAAAAAATAGTGTTCAAAATAATTTATTGTTGAAAAATGTTTGAATGTAACTTATGATATTATATTCTAGGTAATTATGTTATAGAGTTAATAATAAATATTGAAATAATAAAAATTATGTTTAAAAAATTAATTCTTTTAACTATCAATATTAATTTTTTAAAAAATTTATCCTGATAATTTAAATTATTTTAAAATATGTATTTAAGTTAATTAATTTGAGATTATTATTATTTAAATTTAAATAAATATTACTTAAATAATTTATAATAAATTTGGAGTATTATTAATAATAATTTAAATTATTATTTAAAAATGTTAGATTCATTAACTAAAAATGTTATTTTAACATTATCAAAAAGCGTATTCCTTTTTGCACTTTATTATTAAAATATAAATGAATAAAAAATAATATATTCTGTGTCAACAGTTCAAATAATAAATATAGTACAAATTTGTGGTTACTTTTGTTGATGTACAGAGCATTGAATTATTTAACTTTTTTAATTAATAATTTTAACCAACCAATATAAATTAATTAAATGGCATACTTTTGGTCAACAATTTAATAATGAATATAGTACAAACTGTCTTTAAGATATAAAATTAAATTGTTTAATTTTTTTTTTCTTACTCTTGAACGTAATTGATTTTTGTATTAATTAAAAATAATTTAGAGTTTGGTCAAAATTAAAACAGCTATATAATATTTATTGTTCTCATTCAATTAAATCATTTAATAATTTCATTTCTACCATAGTTATTATGTACCGTGAATATACATGTTATTAAAAAAGTTAGTGTTATGATAAGATGGTAATAATTTTTAATTATATTATAAAAAAATATATGACATTTTGCAATATGGATATAATGATTCTCATTCATCAATTGTATAGAAGACATAAGAACAAATATGTAGGTGCTCATCAAAGAACTAATTAATTGAATTGGCCCGACAAATTATTAAATTTTCTCACCAACGTATATAATGAGTAGCTATGATCATATTCTACACCAATGGACTCTTGAGGATGAATAGGTAATTATTTTTTTATTAAATCTTTTCTTAATTAAAGAAATAATTCAAAAATAAAATTATTACAGTCTGAACTCTCATTCAGAATCCTGACCGTATGCATACCACATCATGATAAAATAATTTACAGAAATATTTCGCACATCAAATTTTAAAATAATAAAAATTACATCTCTTATATATTTAGCTCAAAATACTTAATATCCATGAGGCATGTCTAAATTCTAAAATAAATACTCACTAAAAACGAAATAATTAACATTAAATACTATTCAAATTAAAATAAAAATTAAACGATCTCCTAACAAGTCTTTTACTGTTGAGGAGCGAGATTCTAAATATCCTAATTCAGAATAAATTAATAATAAATAGGATAAGCTTAATATGCTCAGTAAGCATGTAAGTACTAACAAATGATAGGATAATATGTCCAAATCGGTAGAAAATATAAAACTACTGATGGAAATGATTCAAAATACTTTTATCTTTAATTCATAAAACACGTGGTATCTATACCCTAATTCATTAACCAAACTTTATAAATCATTTTATTCAGTAAATATTCAAAATTTATTATTTCAGTATCATAATTTAAGGTATAAACAGTTCAATAAATAATATACTTCAGTATTCAACATCACAATTTACGCAGTATCTATTAATTCAGTATTTCAGTACACATGACTTCTTATTCATTACTATCAGTTTATATCCTATTAAAATAGTTTCACTGCGCGATGTCATTTCTGCCGGTATCAACGAGGGCAGTAAAAATCTGCTCTACCACGTGAATACGTCATAATTCAATTCACAATTTGCAGTTTGCACTACACAATATACAGTTCATAATTTTTATCGCTTCACCATGTATGACTAAAGCCGTATCCACGGGTAGGTTTCACCATAGTCACACACCAAAAGGTTACACACACACCCACCCCTCGACGATACTTGTTAAATGGGTTTTACATGTCTTTTAATATTTATTTTTTTCAACTCACTAATAAATTTTTTAATCTTATTATTTAATATTTTTTATACCTGTAAGACATATATTATAAATATTCATCTCCTTAGACTCTTATACATATCTTTAATATACTTACAATTACATAGCAACTAATACATATACAAATTTAGTTACAAAACATAACAGAATTCATCAGCAATTTCAGTAGTAAACATAAATAAGAACACAACAACCAATAATAAAATTTTGTCGGAATCCTGTACCTAATTACCAATTATTAAACGTAACAGTTTTAGTATCTTATAAAAATTAAACTACATTTGTAAGCGTTTACGCACTTACCTGATTCTCGCATAAATCTCTTTCGTGAAATTATCTCTGAGATACAAGATCAATCTATTACAATGATATTTGTAACACCTGAGTCCGAAAATTTGGCCCAGGATAATTTAATGTTAATAAAAAAATAAATTAAAATAATTTCAATTTTAATTTTTTTATGAATTTTTGATGAAAATTGGATTTTGGATGCATTTGAAAATACTTTCAAAAATTAAGGCCAAAGTAAAAATAAAAGAGGACCTATTTGAAAGAAAATCTGGGAAACTGGAGTAAAAATAAAATTTTCAAAAGTTTGGCCACATGGACTACCACATCAGTAGCGTGGCAAGTCTCCATGCACCGCGTAGCAAACACGTGGACAGATGTCCAGGCGAGAGGCCACGCAGGCGATTCGCGTGCCAGCAAATCCAACAGCCCAGATCGCATCCCCCATGCAAGGACGACCCAAATTTTTTTTCTCTTTAAGTGCGATCAAATGACTGAATTTGATCAAATTGTGCGGCCCAAATTAATTCTCTCAAATAAGAGCGATCCAATGACTGAGGATGGGCCACATCTCCTCGAATGGACGACCCAAATTTAATGAAGAGCGCATGGAACCCTTACCCTAGCCGCCAGAGAGGTCATCAGAGAAGAAGAACAGGGGCGATAGGAAAGTGAACCAGTCACCAGAGAAGGAGACTAGTCATCGTCAGTGTTGCACCGGAGCCACCGCCGACGCTGAAAAGGTAAAAATTTTTCCCCTTCCACTCGTAATTGAATTTTGAACCTCCCCACACCTATATCGGAGCCAAAAGGCCAACAGGTAAGCTAAAAAATCACGGGTAAAGCCCGACGGAACCGTTGTGGCTAAAACCCCAAAACTCCTCCAATGAGCCCTCTTCGATTCCTGTTTCACATTATTTTTTGATCATTGTGTTCACCGTCCTTTTCTGTGCAGGGTAGCTGAAGAAATAACCTCAGCCGCAAAGGAGGTCCGGTGAAGCTGCCGCATCCGGAGGTCCTCCCGCCGGTAGGTTTGATTTTTTTATGATTTTTTTGCCAACCAAAGCCCTTAACGTATTTTTCTGTAGGAATACAGCCAAAATGGTCAAAATCGGTTAAAATCGACCAGACTGAAGCAAACCACCACCGTGGCAGCAGAGCTGGCACCGGAGCACGGCGGCGCTGCCATGCCGAAATCCCAAAATTGGCCGAAATGAGTTTTGGACACTGATTTTAGATTTTTTAGGTATTTTTAGGTATATGACGAGTGTTTTGAACTCCACATAAAAATTCAAGGAACCCGATACCCGTTAGGAGGCGTAGTGGACAGTTTGACATCTCAAAACATCGATCCGGGTAAAGATCTCTCACCTTATTCTCCGTTACGATAAATTAAGGCTTAACAATATATAATTTTATATTTTTATAAAAAATTAAAAAATTTAAAAAATAATTACAAGTTATTAGTGGAGTCGGAATCGATTAGTTTACAATTGTCTTGATTCCTGCATATTTTTTTGTACTGTCCTACTTGTTTGATTTTTGTATAGCACATGTTCTTAATTTATAGTTCAATAGTCTGATCAACTTATCTAATTATTTTGTTTATATACCGTCAGCATGAATATAATTTAATTTATCTGTGAATGTGATATGAGATATTGGTATGAGTTTGTTGGTTGTTTGCTACGAGAATCTTTATGTGAAAAACTTACTGGGTACCTAGGGAAAGGGCGGACAAGTCCAGTACATAGGGAACCCTACCGTGAACGTTACATTAGTCGAACGGGGTTGGAAAGTCTCTTACCAGTAAGATTTGGGAGATATGATTTACCCTCATACCGAACAGGGTATCGAAGCGATAGAATATTTGACGCCCATTACCAGTCATGATATGGGGATGACCGGTTAATTGTTAAAATTAGATATTTGATTTACGAGTAGGGAAGACACCCTTATGTACCTCCAAGGGTACCAGTAAGCAGGTAAGAAAAGAAAGTTATTGTTTTTCATTCTTTTATATATAAAAGTGAAAAGTGATATGGATATGGGTCTTCATTGATTATTTTTAAAAAACTTGTCGCAGTAAGTACCAAATGAATTGAGAGAAGTAATTTACCATGACTTGGTGAATGTCATTTTACTTTAAATGTACT